TAAAATATTGTTTACACAATTTTTAAATATTAAAAAAAATTCATTTTAATTTTTGTATTTTTCCTTTTTCTAAGCAGTTTTCATTCTAATTTGCTTTTAATCGTAAATCAATACTCAAAATCGAACTTGGAAAATTATATATATTATATATATTAATATAAATATTCTATATATTGTTGTGTCATATACGTGTAATATAACACAGCTATATGTCTTAATATTTACATTACATCATATAAAATGATTTAAACTTATAACAATGGCATAAGTATTGATCCTTCCAGTGTACAGTTTTTGAAACTATGAGATGTTTTTATTCTTCGTGAGAATTTCAGAATGTTCACAACAAAACATACTTTAGACTCGTGAGGATACTTGGAAATGTTTCGAATTTCGAAAATAGCACGTTTGAGAATCTTACTTATTATATCATTCTAAATTGAAGATTATGTTTTCTTGCATGATCGTGATGAGCTGTTTACATGCTTGGGGAATTTTATATAAGATCCTTTTATGAAATAGCTCCCTTAGGTATGTATCGAACCTAAAACTAGATTTTTTATATTGATTTTTTTAAACTCCTTGAAAACGGAATTAAATATTTAAATTGTACAGTTTTAAAATAAATAATGTAATTATGTATTTAATATTTTATTTTATATTATATAAAGTTTCCATTAAAATAATAAAAATATTATAGCCATAATTTGGGAGTGAAAATCTTAGAAAAAAATTATTATTTTAATAGTTAATTATATTTGAAATAAAGAACTATTATTTATTTATCAAAAATTGTAATTAATAAATAAATATGCTTTTTATTTAAAAGGAAAATTGAAATGACAATTCAATATCTTTATCATTTCGTTTATCATTATAATTATTATCTTTGATTTATTTTTTCTATTTTTAACCGTTACTATTTTTTTTATTAATTTTGTCTGATGTTATTAAAATAATTTATATGATAAAATTGTTTATTTGAGGCATGTACAATTATTGCTAATTGAGACTAGATACTTTTCATATCATTGGTGTCGAGGATTGATAATAATAATTAAGGGTCACCAAACTTTTTTATGTTATAATCATTAGAATTGAGTTTTGTATATGCTAGATAACAACTATTGGAGTTACCATTCGAATTTTCAGTTAAATTAAATTATTTCTCTTCAATTCGGATGATATCTTAAAATACGAAGCATTTTATATCAAAACGCCATTACCTCATAATTGTCTATTGAAGAATGATTTTGGTTTCGTTATCATACCAATAATATTTGCTTCGATTGATCAGTGTATGTTAAATTTCCTTTTATCAGAAATTATAATTTTCTATTTTCTTGGATTTTTAAATTTATTCATATATATTTGTATACTAATTACTTTGATTTAGTTTTGCATATACATCATGAAATATGTTTGTTTAGCTTTAGTTTGACAACCATAGAAAAATGAGACATCTTAACTGTTAAATTATAATCAATAGCATTCGTGTAAATTCTTTTACATGTGGCAAGATGAAAACATTTTGTTTTTATCCTCTCACTTAGTATAGATTTTCTTTCAGTTATTTTTGTTTAGTCATATTGATTGCCTTTTTTAAAATAACATTCTGTATTGCAGTAACAGATACTTTCACTTTTCCTGCAGTTTCTCTACCTTGTTCTTATAAAAACACCCAAATATTTTTTATCCGACTTTCGTTTTATATGAAATTTTCAAAGTTATTCATCAGCTTCATCCAAACATTTCTGGATAAAAATTTAATGATAAATATCAATTTTTAAAAATATCTATTTCATCCTATGTAAAAAGAAAATGTAACTATATTTATTTACAATATACATGATAAAAATTAACGTTTTGAATTTTTATTCATTTATAATGAATATATACACTGAATAAATAAGAGATATAATATATTCATTTTAGAAATAATTAACGTAATCACATAAAAAATAATTAAGTTATTAATCACATAAAAATTAAAACGATCATAACATTAATCATAATCATTAAATTAATTATAAAAATGAAATTCTTATATGGCTATTAATCATATAAAAATAATTAACTTTCTGACAGTTAAACTTCCAAGATTTGTTACAAAACTAAAATGATTTTTTTTTTCATTTTTCATATGATTGCATGTGTAAATGTTAAATCTTGTCATATGTTATCTTATTATAAATCTGAGAGCAAATAAAGCTGAAATTTTAAAATGAAATTTGAAAAGGATACAGCAATAATATATTGCATATTATTCAATTATTCCAAACATTTACTACAATTTTTCAATATTATTTGAATATAGATTTTAAATTACCTAATGATGTAATTAGTAATCAACAATTTTAACTTTATGTCTGAAAAGTTTTTATAGACAAAAAGTTGGAATAAATTTTAAAAACTTCTATAAAACTTCTAAATTTACAACTATTCTCAACGTTTTAAACATTATTATTATCGTTCCTAAAAAGCAATCTGTTGATGAGAAATGTATTGCCAAACAATTTATGTTACTCTATTCGATCAATAGCAGCATTAACTGTTATGGTTCAGTTAATTTATCACAAGTTACTGTTGTTACAATGCTTAATAAATCGTAAACAACGAGCACTTGGATTACGATTCTATCACTCGGTTTTTAATTCGAGATTGTTTAAATTAAATGCTTTTTTTTTTTTTTTGTATAAATAAATAAATTTGTAGAAAAAAAAACCAGTTTTTTCAACTTTGGATATGAACAGGAACACACATTAATTAAGAAATAACAACTTTAGTTAAACATCTCTTATATACAGATTATATGTATATAAATATACATAATATAAATTTACATTTACATATGACTATATATATATATATATATAGTCATATTATTTAATGTAAGAAAATTATCTTAAATTCTTTTATATTTTCCAGTTGTTTTCTTATAATCTTCATAAAGTATTAAAAATTTTAAATCTGTATTACGCAAAATAAGTTTTTAAAATAAAATTTTAAATTTCATTTGATAATTACTTTAATGTCTATGTTATTCTCAAGTCGTTTATTTATAGTAACTTGCCGAAATCAAATATATAAATGAAAAATATTGTAATTTGTAATTTAGATAAAATTATTCCTTGTTATTATAATTTAATATTGTTAATTTTTATATTTATGGATAATTGAATATGACTTTTATAAAATTTATAAATTTTAAATAGATAATTTATACCATAGTTTTTAAAATTATACATACAACATCTTGAAATTTCTTGGACTGATTCAATGAAATATAGCTTTTTTTATTATTTTATATCATGTTTTTTCCCTTTTGATATATAGCTTTCATAATTCCAGAAGTTTCTGAAATTGTAGTATTCAAGAAATTCCTAGTGAAGTACAGTGGGTGATCGGTTAACGAACATAACCCATTCCAAGACTTTGTTCGCTATCCGAATTGTTCGTTAACCGATTATCGATTTACCATAGGTTTTAATGGGAATTTCATTAATTCGTTCTGGAAACCCCAAAAATAAAAAATAAATACTTTCTTTACTACGTATTTATATGTAATAATAAAAATACATACATACACAGTCTTGCATTTTTATTAGTCATGTTTTTTCCGTTTGAAAGGATTAAAGAATCTGTCTAATGTCGATTGCTTTTCTCTCTTCTAAAGGATTTTTCGTAAGTAATTAATAGCATTACACTTGTAGAAATATCCAAGCCTGAATCTGGTTTGGATGCCATTCTAAGACCGTTGTTCTGACATCCTCCCAGTTCTTCAAAGGATCTTTAGTAACAGATATCGATATTATTTCTTTTTTTCAAAAGAAAACATATTTCGCCGAGTTTCTTGGTGTTCTTCATTTAAGAGTTCTTGGCGTTCTTCTGTCGTCAGATATGTTTCAGATTCCATTATGAACTCTTCGATGTTCTTTATTTCTCAGATGTAAATTTTGTTACTCCTTTAGCTGCTGGAGTCCTCTTGATTATACAGTATTTTTCTTAAATAAGATTGAACTGAGGCCTACTGTAGATCTGTTTACGCCATATTGCTCAGCAACATTAGGCATCTTCTGCCCACTCTCTACCTTTGCTATTATACTCTCAACTTTCGAAAAGAAAACAGACGCAAAACTTAACGAGTGTCTACACGATAGTCTCGCGAATACATACAAGAATTGTTTTGTCAGAAAAATAAAAGGCTGGAATTACAAGGGAGAGTTTCAAAATTCGGAGGAATACTATCCGATCGGTATATACCGGCTTGAGCGTCGGTGTCGACGTCTCACACACTCTGAAAAGTTTCGAATTGTTGTCCGAAGACGAGGGAAGACCAATCGGTATTCATTATTTTACGTCGCTTCTTCTTGTGTTTGTTCTGTGGGGTGTTCGTTATCCGATCATGTGTTCGTTGTCCGAACATAAAAATCTTTCGCGAAAGTGTTCGTTATCCGATTTGTTCATTAACCGATCACCCACTGTATTATTTTGAAACAGCTATTTGGTAATCGACCATTAATTTTGAATTTTAAACGTTGGTTCATATTTTTTTTCGTGAGAACCTTAGATTTTGTTTTAAAAAATCTGGAAATAGGTTCGACAATAGAGCGGTATTAGGATCGTTTTCGATTGGGGTTTGCAAGGAAATCGCATTTGATAATATTAAAGCATTATCTTGAAAAAGGAACCATTTTACGCTTTGGGAAAAGTCTGGTCAACTTCGCCGGATTCTTTCGAGCAGGCAATCCATAGCCTCCATGTAGAACAGATCGTTGACAATCTGTTCTATAGAGTTAATTTTCGACGGTGATGCTTATGGAAGATAGTCTTTCCTTTGGCCATCCTCCAATGACTCTTGACCGTAGCCAAAACATTTCTACGATTCATACATAGTCGAGTTAAATAAATATTCATCTGAACAAGATCTTTTCCTCAATTCAAAAGTTTCTGATGCAGTTTTTTTATGTTTGAAACACAACTTAATTAATTGAGTCTTGATGCCCGTTTCTTATTCAATGATGAAGTCAAAAGTAAGTACGATGTAAAAGACGTAGTATTCGCCAAAAACGAATCAAAACCGAAGGATAAAATAATCACTTACTGGTTCTCATAGTTACTAATTTGTGCTGCCCAACGGATAACACGATGAATAAGTTCTAAATATCGTTACGGGAACTTTTCAGACAATGTATACCGGTATATTATACATATTATTTGATTACTTAAATTGATATATCTGATATATTGAAAATTACTTGATTGCCAAATAATATTTTTATTAGTGATTTTTAATTACGTACAAAACATTATTACCAGTAACAATGTAAAAGCAATTTGATGAATAGACAATAAATTTATTTATCTAAATAAAACAATTTACTAACTAATAAAAAATATTCTTAAGTTACAAACTTTGAATTTTTAATTTATAAATCAATTATTATATTTGACTTCGATGTGTTTCTATGAATAAATATCAACAAAATAATGTTGATTTTAATATAGCATGAATATATTATTTTAAGAAGAAAATCCGGTAAACTCCATTCGGCCAGCCTACTGGTGCGGCACGAACTATTGACTACTAGTTTTTCAGTTATTTTATTCATTTGAGCATTGGAGGGCTTCTAATTAGTGAAATTTTGTCTTGTTTAATCTCTAGAAACTAATCTCTAGTCAATTTAAATTTCATTTTATTAATTTTAATTTTCCACTGTTTTGTTAAGTATATATTTAATTATTATTATGTATGTAAAATATTTTATTCATTTTAGTTTTTGGTCTATTTACAGTTAGCTGTTCAGACGTTCATATTCAGATTATTGTTTTCGTTATTCGAATATTTAAGTATCCTGAAAGTGATCTATCTATTCACTAGCTTGAAAACGTTAAACATTTAAATATAAGTAGATTTACATAATTACGTAATGTATACATATAATATAGATGCGTATATTATGTAGCATACACATATATAATATACATACTTGTTTGAATATCAAGTGATTGCTTAATACCGTGTTTCCCGGAAAATAAGACAACCGCAGAAAATAAGACCTAGCACAGGTTTTGCTGAATTGCGAAATATAAGACCTCCCCCTGAAAGTAAGACCTAGCGAAGTTTTTTTTAGTCGTAACGGTCATCGGCAGATGGTTGAAAGTGGCCGTTGGCTTTTTGAAAGTACAGCCACTGATTGGTCAGCAGACAATTACGCNTAAAATAATAGTTATAAGAATATATTAACTCTTTATAATTGAAGATGAATGTTCCTAAAACGAATTTCGCATAATCTAGGATGTGACGACGAAGATTATATCCTGTTATGCTTCTGCAATTCCTCTTCGAGCTCCTGTATCCAAGACTCATACAGTCGTCGTTAAGTGTAAGTCTGCGATAACCTTTGCTAAATGTTAGTTTCATTAAGGAATCATTAATAAGTGACAAGTTAATGATATTCATATAATTTTCTGTTTTAATTGAAATATTATTTAACTAAAAAGTTATAATTACTTGTGTGATGATTCGTAGCTACATTTAAACATTTTAAAGTAGATTTTAAAATTTTCGTATAATATAAAGTCTTATTAAGTCAGACCTTAACTAACTACTGTTTATTTAAGTCAAAAATTTTATATTTTATTCTTAATTTTTAACTGCAATTTTTCGAGGTTTCTAACTATTTTACTTGTTAAAAAAATTGAATAAAAATTACTCGGATTTCTGATTACGTTTTCCATTCCTAATCAACTTCCTTTACTTTCTTCACAAGTTCTTGATTTATTTTGCATATTTCTTTGACTTTCTTGACGATTCTAGAACTTCGATTCAAATATGATAATAGGAAATTAATTTTTGAATATAAATTTTTTAAAACTAAATTAAATGAAAAACTTATATAAAAACACATTTTAAAGAGCACAGAAATTTACTTTATTCATTATAGGCCTACTATTAATACAATAAAATCAATATAAATTATACCGTCGTGGAAAATTCAATGATCTATTTTTAAATTATCCATTAAACCTTATAACCTATTTTCCTAATAATGAAAATGTTTTACATTATTTGAGGAATTTTAAAATTAATTAATTAATTACTTTTATTTAACTTTCTTTCTTGTTTTGCGATTAAACGCCTTTTACATTAATATTGTATATATATATATTTTAAGTTTTGATTTCAACATTTTCTTCACAGAACTGTTTATCCATTTTTATTACCCTAAATTCTGATTTAAAAGATAGATATTAAGATTTTTTTATGAATTGTTAAAAATTAATTTGTTTTTTTAAACTTTATATTAATTCTTTTATTGATTTGTCGATCTCAAATGAGATAACATTATTATAACTTCAAAAGTCTAAAAGTATCTTAATACTTTAAATACAATGTACTGATGTCGTCTCTTCTTTACTGAGGTAACTTCTGTATGTCGCGTGTGATGCAACACGCAACTGAATAAATTCAATTATCTTAACAGACTTTTATGTTAAGAATATAGAGACGTTTACTTACTACACATTAATATAAACATGCAACTAAATATTTCATACATCTCCATTTTATACAAATTCGATTTGAAACATGCAATTTTTTCTTTAAAAAATTTTAAAAAGCTACGATTTTCAAAGACATGTTCACGATCAATCTTAAAAAAGTAGACTATTAACTTAAATGTGCAGAAAGTGAAACAGATGTATTGCATTAATTTTAATTAATAAATTAAACCAATAAATTTATCATTATTTATCAGTTTTGATGAAACAAAATTGAATGCTTTTTTATTGATTATTTTAATTTAATAAAATAAAGAATATACGATCATTAAAGTATTCTCAGTTACTGTTGTTATCTAATTTTATCCTTAAATGATATCATAGAAACAAATTTTCTTACAAAAATTTCTCAAAATCTCGTTGCTTTTGCATATTAGGAAACTATTTATCTAAAAAACACTTTTAATAAATGTAATAATATAAATGAGTTTATAGTTGTTAACTATTATAAAGTTTTAAATAATTATAATAGAGTTTTATGGGAGGAGTCGATCTTTCATTTCAGGTTACTTGTCTGCCTTAATATATAAAAATGTTTAAAAATTTTCAGCGATAAGGCACAATCCCTTATTTATTTGATGAGAAAAATCATATTATAATTTTCTCTTTTATGAATATATTTAAAGAAAAAAATAACTCATTGTTATCCAGTTATTTTACTTTGTTTATTTAATAGCATTTGAAAACTTATAATTATAAAATATTAAATTATAAATTTAAAAAATAACATTGAAAACAATATTATGAATTGTATATATAAGTAAAGAAAAATGTTTAGATGATAAAATAACATTTCGTTAATATTTTTTAAAATTAATGAAGTCATATATTTCTGCTGTTTTTATTTATAGTAATAGTACGATGTAAAAGACG